AGGCAGTAAACAGGGGTGTGAGACGAATAGTAATAATGAAGAACAATATAGTTTCATTGGAAATCATAAGTCACAAGGAGTGGATGCATCCGCACCATTACCGAGAAGGATGTTATTACATATCACCAATTGTGTCCACCCATTGGTTTTTATCGTCCCGAGGACCCCAACCAGGAAGTCTACACCTTCCTACATGGTTTTAAACTAACTGTTGTAGATTTCATTGACTGGTGCCATGTTTTGGTTTGACCTCCGCTAGCTCTTTTCTAGCCTGACCCTATGTCAGCTAACATTACGCATAGAGGAAGGCAATGACTAGGCCTATGTAACACATGTCCAACCATCTCAATCGGTCTAACTTCCCAACGTCATCGATTGATTTCCCCTCCTTACCTAGAACTCGACTGATGCCTAACCTCGATATTGCTCACCTTATTATACCACTTCACACGGGAGATAGAGCGCAGGCACCTATGATCAAAGACAGCTAGCCAGGCTTTTCATGTCTTCCCCTCTCCATGGCCAGGTCTCACAGCCATAAAGGAGGATGGAGAGGACTGATGAGCAGTACACACGTCCTTTGGTCAATAGCCGAAAAAGTGATCTCAGAGTGATGAAGGTCTGTCTTGCTTCTCTGATCATCGCTTTGATATCCTCATCCATCCTGTTGGTAGCCGAAACGATACTGTCCAGTTAGTCTTAATTGAATGAAGTGACCTCTTTCCAATTTATCCCGTTGATAATGATTGGTTCGTGTTGTGTTGTTGGTTGGCTAACTAGTCTGAAAGTCTTCAGAATTGCCCAAATATAAGCCCTCCAGGAATCGAATCCAGAAGCTGCATTTCGCGAGGTCACGTCGTTAAGTATTAGTTAATGAAATCAACCGGTGAATTCTACCTTCTGTCAGTTCGTGATGCAGCACTACCAGCAGCATATGGCACTGATGAGCACTCACTTCACCTGCTGATAATGTGGTGGTGGTGGACCCCAATGGTTAGAAAAGAAATTACAAGTCAATGATCATCGAACCTCGACCTAGTGGCTGAATTGTCGACATGCTAGACTCAGTGCTGAGTCCAAGCACCTATGGGGGGTGATAAATGTGAACTGCTGGACAGGACTGCTAAACTAGGACGGAACAGTTATTCAGTGCTTCCTATTTTTCAATGATAATTCTTGACGATGTCTACACTGAAACATTGTAGATAAAGAAGTGAGAATTGGAACACTTAAGAGAGACGTTAATCTTTTAGGTTTCCTTTCCTCACTCAATACCTTAAGCGATTTATCTCAGTTGACAACGATAACTGCATAAATTTACTATCCATACAGATTGATTTTAATTGGATTTGTTCAGACCTTTACAACAGAATGTTTCAAGAATAATAATTTGCATATTTCAAAAACTAGATATATCAGGTATGATATGGGACTAACAGTTTATCAATGGACAAAAGAACAACAACACTGAGAATTTTTTGGTATTTGATGTTTCCCTTAGAACTAGTTTTCAGAAGAAGAAGAAACAAAAAAGAAAATCAACCAAGCAATCATGTACTGCAAAGTGGTATTGAAAAGACTATAATCAGCTGATTTCAGCCAACTGAAATTTAACCAATCAGTGAAGGCATAATTTACTAACAGCTGCGTGGGCGTCATACAATCAATCTATTGGACTAGAAAACTTACATCTTCTCTGATTGGTGGATATCAGACTATCGATATAACATCAGGGCCAATCAGCTTTAAAAAAAGTAGCTTTTACACCAGCTGACATGATGTCAATTCGAGAAGCAAAATAAAGTCCATTTCAAAACTAGTCAAATACGCCTAAAATAAGTTGGTTGCTTCATTATTATTTTTTTCTTTCAAACATGAAGTTAAGGTGACAGAATAATCAATAGAAAATAATTCACAATTTTTATTGCACTATTTATCTATTTACCAAAATGAAAATTATTAATATTGTAAATTAATAATTAATATTGTAAACTGTGTTGTCCTAGAATCCGCTTCTTTTCGGCATCTTGAATATCATAAAAATGAGTTTAAAGACAGTATTAAAGTGTTTATTCCAGGAGCCCAAAAGTATCAATAAAACTGATGACAGGCCATTCGAAAAGAAGGGATTACAGGAAATCGAATTAATTCTATTTGGTGGCGGCTGTCAGCAGAATCCAAGACTCACCGGCTGATCGTGTCGCCATAAACATAAATAACGAAATCAAAGTCTTAATAAGTAATGTATCTTTTCCTTTTGTCTCCAAAAAGTTTCTTGGAAGAAGTCTCAAAGCAAAACGAAAACGCTGTGACTGCGCTCCGTGTATTCAAAGACTTCGTGACATGTGTAATGCCTAACAGTTTGCCCTATCTTCCATTATAGCTCTAAGACATGGCAACTGAAGGTAGAAGATATAAAAGGTCTGACTAGTGTGTCTTAGACCACATCTCGTGTTAAGTGAAATAATAAGGTAATTAATACTGAGGTTAGGCATAGTTTTAGGCAATCGATGGAGTTGTCAAGCTACATTGATTGAGATGGTTAGGACATGTGTTTGATTGAATGACCCTCCCCTCCCCCGTCTTTAAGCACGCAAAACAAAACTCAGAAAGAAAACTAACAGTATCAGTGAAATGCAGGTTTATGAAAAATACGAGGTTTTGGAGAAACTGAACAATCTATCTCCCAGAATCCAGTTTACTTCGGAAGCAGAATCAGACTTCGATGAACTACCATTTCTAGACTGCCTAGTTAAGAGGAGGAAATACGAACATTTTAGTATATCCATATTCAGGAAGAAAACCCACTCCGATAAATATTTAGACTTCAAATCATCACACCCCATCGGTGCAAAGATTTCAGTTGTTTCAAGTCTTCTTAGACGAGCACACTCTCTGATAACGGATGAGCAAGAAAAAGAAGAAGAAATATCAAACATTGCTGAAATTCTCAAGCAAAACAACTACCCAAGGAACTTCATCAACAAAATCGACACTGACATTAAGTATGGTCGAAAACGTATCCGAAAACATGGACCTCAACAGTTGTTATTCCATTTAGAGCAGAGACGTCAGACGATATCAGAAGAGATCAGACACACTGCTAAGCAACCTTGACCATGTAAAAGATCAAATCTCTAAAGATTCTCTATCTAATTGTGTCTGGGAAGGAAAATGCTTGGAATGTGATGCGATATACATCGGAAAAACATCGCCAGAGAGAAATCAAAATCAGGAGAAATGAACACCGTAGAGCATCTGTTCGACCACCAAGAAATCGAGTCTAACTAGAAAAGCTTGAAAAATCATCAGTCATAGGTCTACACGCTATAGAATCAGGTCACAAAATTGATTTTGACAATATTGAAATATTGGTTTTTTGTAGGGATTTTATTTGATTGCATGGAGGATTTAATCATGAGCTGACATCAGTTAGGGAACCACTGGAAAACCTGGGAGTACTGGACAGCCATTGGACCATTGGATCGGGTCCCAGTGGCTCAATGGTCTACGAGCTCGCCTTGTAACCAGAAGGTCCTGGGTTCGAATCCCAGTGGGTGCGTACTGCTGAGGAGTCCCAAACTAGGACGAAACGGCTGTCCAGTACTCCCAGGTTTTCCAGTGGTTCCCTAACTGATGTCAGCTCATGATTAAATCCTCCATGCAATATTGAAATAATTCAGAAAAACATTTCAGAAATCACAAAGAACGTCCAAAACCATCAGAAGCACTATATATCTAATGGGATCCAAATTGTCAGAATTGGAATTATGAACTAAACCAGAATTTGATCTGGTTACAACACCCCCTCTCCCTCATAAAATGACAAAATCAACAGATATATGATAATCATTTTCATCATGTAAACACATGCTGCCTTTATAACTTTACACACTTACCAAATCCAACAATATACACCTGGTTTTGTTATCTGTACCAAATGGCCAAATCGAAAACGCAAAAAATGACCCCATGCTGAGTAACGATGATTAAATTGTTCCATCAAAAGAACTATATTTAGAAAGCTAGAGACCAAAGCTCAGTATACACACTTCTTTAGTTTCGTACCGATGAAATACAAACGTAATCTGACCAGGTGCTTAGCATTTAGAGCGAGGTTTATTTGTTCCCAAGACTATGTAGAGAAAGAACTTCAGGTCATCTAAGACATTCTAAGTGAGAACGGATATCCATAGAAGTTCATTAAAGCCAACATAGGTTACAAAAGTCATAAACATGAACTGGCAACGGTGAAGAAAAAGCCCCTGTTTCTGAGTTTCCAATTCAAGGAAGATACTCCTGCGGAGATTCTATCGCAACGTTTAACCAGGACGATCAAGAAAACTTTCTACTCTGCACATCTGTGTCTATCCTTCACTAGCCATCCAATGTTCACCCAGCAACTCAAAGACGTCTTACCTAACCTTAGGTCTTCTTCATGCATCTACCATTTCAACTGTTCCAGTGGTTCAAGTTATATAGGGCGCACGATTCGGCAGGTTCGTCAACGGGTTCGAAAGCACTTACCAGCTTGGTTCAACAGGGGGAAATTAAGTGCATAAAAAGCTGGAAGCACTGTCGCACTTGGTCGATACTGGACATTGTATCGATGTTAACACAGCTTTCAGGGTTATATACCGAATTTCGAAGTCCTTATCACGTACAGTTCGCTTACGTCTCCTACACACAGCTGAAGTTTTTGCAATAAGATCGACCGAACCGGAACTTTGTTATATATGAGCTGAGATTTTGTAAATTCTGGTTTCATAATACTTTGATAAAGCTATTAACAGCATTAAATAGAGAAACGTCAGTAAAAACGACAATATCGTTGTGTTTTTCATTCATTGGGAAATACAATAATGAGTATCATATACTTAATGCCCAAATTTTTTCAAACTGTTAAAAGTAAACTCGGTTTGGACATAAATAAAAAAGAAGATATATGCGTGTCTTCAATACAACAACACCAATGAGACAACAGACACCAACAGACTTACCTATTCAACCGAAAACTTTCACAATTCGATAACATGACTACCAGACCAGGTGGTAGGCATACAGCTTCGCGTATATTTGTAGACAGGTGATTCCAAAGTCTCCAATTATCAGTTGTCTCCATCGTAATTACATCACTGCCATCTTTTACAGCTTGTTTTAAAATATCACTAATCAAACCATGCGACTGCCTTCCAGTTGTATGAAGTCGACAAAAGTAACCAGTTAAATCATTCATCTGTAGAATGTTTTGTCTATCAGACGTTGAAGAATTTATTTCTTTAATACGTGCTTGAAGTAACTGCCAAGCTGTCACTGAGATAGACGGATGAAGCCATAACCAAATATGACGAAAATTTTCTTTTGGCTAACAATTAAAAAGGTTTATAAAATAAATTTAGACTATGCACAATTAGTAGAAAAAATATGACAAGAAAAAAAATGTGAGTAACAAAAGGGTTGGCATCATCGAAACGCCGTTTGTATTAAAAGCTGACATTGTCAACAGCAGAGATTGAGCAGTTTAGATTTCTATTACTATTCAGTTATTCAAAACACAAAACCTAGAACAATATTGGCATCAGAAATCAAGCAGCTGCTATATTTAAACAAGACTGAACAACGCTCATCGAATTATTGTCAGAAAGGGAAGAAGGAAGGAAACTGTAGTATGTTAGCCACTGATGATTGTGATTCTTGGTCATATCGAGGCAACACCTGGGACTATCTGTTGGCCCCCCACCAAGGAGTCATGATGTACCAACCGATGCTAAATTAGCACAAATACCCCAAATCACAGGCTGACCGAATCCCTGCTTTTCTTATCCAGTGCCAGGGCTAGAGAACAGAGACCACTACGGAAACCTCCGGGATGGGATTCGTAGCAAACACCCACAAGCCACCGAAGCTGGTGTTTCTAGATGACGACGCTTAATGATTGATGGTCTCCACTGCGTCTAGACACACGCTACTGGACCTCAGAATTACTCATGCGATGATGAAATCGAACGAAAGCGATTCTACGGTGATAGCTATGATCAGATACATAGAGTCACACACTAAATTCTCAGCTGGAAGAGGTTAAGTTTCACAGGCGTAGAAGAAGACTGAGCACACTAGAACATTGTAAACCCAACCTTTGACATTCATGCTGACGCAGCGAAACCGCCAGAGATACCAATTTTTTTCCTTCACGTTCCCAGTGGAACATTAGGCTTCAGGCTAGAGGCTTGAAGTTTCTGTAGCAGTGTTTACTTTTACAGGATGAGGTTGCTAGCCTCATGCCCAACTTTTCCTCTCTACGGCTTATTTATTACTGGTTTGGAGAGGTAAAAGACTGCGTCGATCGGGTATCGAACCCCGGACCATGTGCATGGTTTAGAACGATCAAATGAACCGGTGAGATATTCAAAAATAATGTAAAACGATTTAGGGTGATCAACTGGAATGCCCGGACCTAGGTTTTGTGCCCGTTTTGATTGATTGTCGATTTCCCGAAAGTTAAACCTTGAGAAGAAAAGTTGTCCAGTAATGAGATCATTTCTTGGCCACAACGTAAACTAAATCCAGATTTCAGGAATAAACACTTCCGACTAGGCTTTTAGTTATTGACTTAAAATGTTATTTCCGATCTAAGCTGATTCGTATCAACCTCCATCTCTAACTACAGATAATTCTTGTTAGAAGTGAACGCCACAGCCTTATAAGAGGACAGTTGCGCAACAATTGGCTAAACACTTGGTGATGCAGGCTCACATCTCCAGAGCAATATCAATCCCTTCTAGGTGGTATATGTGGATTATAGATAGGTGCAAGTAAGTAAACGACCTAGATCCACCAAGTATTGGACATCTATTTTATCCGAGTTTGGGGACCCTTCGACAATATGTAGTCATCAGCCCCACCACCACCCGCCACCAAAGTTTTATTGAACTCAGGACATTTGAGTGAAAATACTAGTCCGTTGACTGTTGAATCAACTGACACAAAATCTAATCACACTTTCAAATCTTAACTTCTGTCAATTCGTTACATATACAACTATGTGACAGTCATTTTCATCGGTGGTGAGTCCCTGTGTCCTTAAACCCGACGTGAAAGACCCAACTGGTCGTCAATCCCTAAAATGAGGGGTAGATTCATTTTGAAATGGTTGGTTGGCAAGGTTTGATTGGTTTCAAAGTCGAATCACAAAGTGACATCAGCTGAATGTTTTGTGTTCGACCCCCAGTTAATTAACTCATGAGTGTGTAACCTTAATAAGTTCACAACTAGAAAGCAAGAGTTTTTCGGTACTGCCTATCAATTTGTGAGCTGAAATTTCAAAAAACACAATCTGATTCACAAAATATACTATCAAAATGAAAAAAATCTTACTAAATATTGATTTAGGCATATATATATATATATATATATTCATGAGCAAATAAATTTTCAACATTGATCAGCTTTATCAATCATCTGTTAAACACAACTGACAAATGCATATTCGAATTATCAATTGGCGTTTGTTACTTTATTTTCCCATTTTATGTTGAGAAAACAACAACTGCTAAACATGCTTCCTTTAAATGACTCGTATCTCAGTTAGTATTAAATAGTAGGAGGCAATCGGAAGGAAGCCTCGCCTGACCTAGATTTCATCCTTGTCAGCACTAGTCAGCAAAGCGCATCCGTAACTTTGAGAGAACTCACATACCCTTTGAAATTCGAACACGCATCACTAGTTACTAACCAGTGTCCAATCAAAAAAAAAATATCCAATACAGTCCTATGGAGGAGGTCAGTCATGCAACTGAATAACTCACTGATAACGTCTGCGACTGCAACACTCACAGAGTGACACGGGTTTGTGCATCCCAGAGGGGATATGAGTTCCTTTAGATAGATAAGATAAGATAAGCTTTATTCCAAATCAGTACTTGTGATACAGAATGGAATTCTCAGCATTTTACTACAATATTGCATCCAGTTGGTACATTAACAGTAAATATAGTTCTACATAGATTAAAGTTATCTCAGTCAGTTTTGACAACAACATATTAGCATGTCGGTAGCAAAGCCAAAATTAAATAGTGTTTGAAGGTGTTAGAAAAGTAGATACTACTAGCATATTTACTGACGTAAGCGATACCAAAATGGTCGAGATATACAGAGTGTGAGAGAACGAACAAGAAAGTTTTAAGTAGAGTTTGTAAGGAAGAGAGAAACAAAACAGCACATAACAAAAATAAACACAGAAAGAAAAGAAAAAAAAAGGTAGAGAGAAAACATTGTGCCTGTAAATGATGTGAGTTGGAAAGACGAGATCCATTTGTTCTACTGACTATTTATTAAGTTAAAGGTTTCACGCCTAATGCATTCTTTATCGCACAGAACACGGGCTAAGTAGGGTATGGATGAGTTTTTGGACTTACTAGTGCGAGTATATAGTTTTCTAAAGAGGCTTCTGGTTTTCCCTGAAGAGATACATGGGGAGAGTTGTGCATGTAGAAGGTGTTGTGAGTCAGATAAGATGGATTTCGCCCATTTTTCACATGAGTCCATGTGTCTGCCGAAAGGAATATTAACAAGCTGGTTAAGTGGCACGTTGCTTATCCTGCTGACAACCTTTAACATACTGCTTAATAAGGTATAGTCTTTCTTCAGTAACCCAGGAAAAACTAAGGGGGAACAATAGAGAATAATAGGCAGAATGCGAGAGTTAACGAATCGTAGAAGTAAGGGTTGGTTTATACCAGAATGTTTAAACTTCTTGATGTAGAAGGTAAGACGGAATATTTTCTTAGAAATCATCAGCATATGAAACGACCAGGAAAGATCAGCTGATAGAATGACACCTAGGTATTTGACTTACGACTTGGTTTCTATTTCAGTGCCATCAATGTTGCACACCTCGTGAGTGATAACCAGTTTTCTGAGGTCAGATTTGTGCCTGAAGGTGAAATTAACTGTTTGGCATTTGGAGGGGTTTAAGGTGAGACCGTTTTCCTTGGACCATTGGCTAATTTCTGATAAAAAGCCATTTAGTTTAGAGCAGTCACTTTGACATTTGACAGGCAAAGATTCAGTCAGGTCGTCAGCATATTTGACAAAGTTAATGTCATTTGAAGATGGTAGGTCATGTAGGAAGAATGAAAAGAGAAGTGGGGAGAGTACAGCACCTTGGGTGACACCAGCTTCAGTGAGCACGGCAGAGGAGGATTCGCCTTTGTATACGGTGTACTGCATTCTGTTTGAAAAGTAGGAATGCAACCAGTTAGTTACCCAAAATTCAGTTTGTGTCATGGAGAGCTTATTTAGCAAGAGACATCTAGGTACAGAGTCGAAAGCAGAAGTGAAGTTAAGAAACGTGCAGCGGACATATTTGGCACCTTTGTCTAATGATGAGACAATACTGTTGTGTAAGACGGCTGCAGCGTCTAAAGTATTCATACCCTGTCCGTAGGCAAATTGTTTGGGGTCTTCGAAGCTTTTAAGGGAGGGTTCGAGTTTAAGAAGTACTAGTTTTTCCATGAGCTTTAGAAACGGGGAAGTGATGGCAATGTGTCTGAACTTTACGTTCTTGCTATTTCCAGGTTTAGGGACAGGGACTATTTTAATGTCTTTCCATGAAACAGGTACAACGTTTTCAGAGGAAGAAGCATTCAGGATATTAGTTAGAGGAGAGCATAAAGCATCTGCACATTGTTTTAGAACATATGCATGTATGCCATCAGGGCTAAGACTATGTGAGGGCTTAAGAGTTTTAAGACATTTCAAAACATCGAGAGTATTAAAGTCCTGGAAGTTATGAGCTACAAGATTAGTAACATTAGAAGTGGTTATAGTAGAAGGAGAGCGTATAAAAGACAGATTAAGAGCATTAACATCACAAGAGGCAAAAACATTACATCGCTTACTATTGCCAGTAATTTCGTTGAAAAATTTCCACATGCTGTTAGGTGATTTGCATGATAAAAGGTTGCAGATGAGCCTTACTGACTGGTCAATGCCAATTAAGTCAGGTAAGGCTTCCCCCCTAACGATTACCTCCAACCGTATAGTTGACAGTGTGCACCATGATGGAAAGTCATACAGTAGCATGAGGGCCACACTGCAGACTTGCCTAACAGAATTCAGTCTGCACCAAACAAAGGACTAGACACACGCACACACATTACACTAGTTACTGACTAATGTCCAATGAAAAAAAAACACTCATAAAAGTATTTATAAATTCGACATTGTGATAAAGCATTACAGCTTTATGTATATAATTGCATGATTTTAGACATTCTTTTTCAACCACCGGTTAGACAGCATTGCACTAAGTCAAGCAACACTAATAGAAATGTACTATTTATTAATATTATATTATTAACAAGA